CTCTCTCTCTCTCTCTCTCTCTCTCTCTCTCTCTCTCTCTCTCTCTTTCTCTCTCTCTCTCTCTCTCTCTCTCTCTCCCTCTCTCTCTCTCTCTCTCTCTCTCCCTCTCTCTCCGATACTAACCTGTAAAAGTGGCGCCTGGCTGCAGGTACATCGAAGACGAAGCTGGAGCTATGGCGCCACAGGTGAGTCTCCCTGGCCTCCGCCAACCATCTCTCCCTCTCTCTACTAGCGCCCAGCGCTGAAGACTACTGCTATCGCTACTACTCCTCCAGAGTGCCGCTGCCGAGTCCTGAAGACTACCTCCTGCCCTCTGCAGGTTAAGTGCCTGGGAACTGCTTGCAGCCTACAGGGCGGGTCAGCCTTATATAGTACTGGCCCGTCCGGGAGGCTGCTCGTGCCTATGGCAAAACGTGCCAGACCCTGGGGTTGACGCTCCACAAAATAGGCCATCATGGCCTGAGCTAAAAACCCCGGTCTGGTGCCTGAGTTTCAGGGTAGGTCGATCTTGCGAGGGCCTGAAAATGGCCCGTCGTTTTCAGGCTGGAAGCCGAAACGACACAGGGCCTGTAGGCCCTCGTTTCAGGCTTTTAGGCTGAAACGAAACAGGCTCTACTCCTACRGACCCTTAGTCTACCAGGTCGGGCTCTGCTGGGCCCGTGTGGTACGGAGTATGCCACACTCGCCTCCATCTTTGCCTTGCTCTTCCTACCTCCCTTCATCCGTGCTGTAGTCCCCATGCACGTGTACAAAGAGGGACCTTTCTTCCATCTTTGCGGTCCCAGTCAGTGAGTCAGGTCGTGATTTCGAGTCTTCCGCTGTGCTACATTGCCTTATTTTGTGTTTGTTTGCTCTCACATTGCTTTCTTGTTGACGCGTTGTGAGTCTGAGTCCTTATCATCACTTTGCTGGTCCTTGGCTTCATTGCATTGCTCTTGTCGGTCTGAGCATGCGTCACTAGGCCTTGAAAGTGGCCGTGGTGCTCAAGGTCGCACAAACTCAAGGGAGCGCTGCCCGGGAGCCTGATGTAGAAGAGTCCACTCCTGGGGGCCTGGAGTCCTCAGCACGTTACACACATGACGTGGTCAGACTCGGAAGGATCATCAGGCAAGAAGAACAGCGGGCAAAAAGAGAGTGAGAAAAATATTAGTAGTAGGATAGTATACAGGGAAAGTAGGGAAGTAGTATAGGTGGACACGACAAGGGCAGTGAACTGTTGTTGTATTGGTAATTGGAGGTGATGTTGGGCTTTCTATATGAAGAGACTTCGGTTCATGTGTGTTCTTAATTGGTGCTACTCTATTCCAACGTGCTCTTATATAAGAGATGATTGATGAGGCCTAGATTTTCATACAATATGTCATCCCATTTATAAGAAAACTTAAAGGCCCTTTTAAGTTTTAACCAAACCTGCCACCGTTACCTGAGAGCAGAAAAGTGGGGGTCCTGGTTAACCACTTGTATCTTATATGGTATCTTTGGCTACTCAATTTTTTTCTGATTGGTGGGTTCCTTGGAAGGATATGCTCCCTGCTTCCCACCCCAGTGAGCAATTCCTCGGGGTAATGGTCTGTGCTTTGACTGTGCTTTAGCTTTTTAGGGGTTGAATTTTACCTTTTTGTCAGTACGGCGAACTTTCAGGGCATACTTCCATATTCTTCCCCACCTATTGTTTTTTGACAGCTTTTTCTGGAGCGTTAGATACTTCTGGGAATGCTGAGTGACCATATGCGAAGGAGGACTGATGAATGGAACGTCAGAGATTGTGATGCCAATCTCCTTCCCCTGTTGCATTCTGGGATGTGGCCCATCCTGACCAGCAGGTTAGGAGTGTTGTGGTGATGATGTTGGTTTCTATTGTCGAGTCAGCATCTTGCTCTTTGCTGCATGTTGCATTCTGTTTACATTTTGCCAAGCAGTTGTGTCTGGGTGATGGCTTGTGTGGAGTGGACATAACTGAAGTCTCGACAACTATAGGATCTGGGCACTTGGTGGTTGCATTGTGATGTTTCATGTTTCCTACTGCTAGGCTCAGGCTTCATAACCTGGTTCAGTGGTTTGGGTACCCGGCATGGTGTTATCATCAGTGTAAGCAAACCCTCAGCTCAACGGGGCAAGCAATTCCATGACATTTATTGCAACCATGACATTTATTGCAACCATGACATTTATTGCAACCATGACATTTATTGCAAAAGCGGGTGGGGAGACTGATTGTGTTTTCATGTTTTCTGTGGCAATGATGAGGTGTGTGTGTCTTGTGTGTGTGTGTGTGTGTGTG